CAACTAGCCAAAACATGACAATTTACCATCAATCAGAGAGTCCTGGAATCAGAGAGATCTAGAGAATTACTGTATACCAAAATTAACTGTAGTAACTGCGCTGATACCTGAATGCATTCAACGGTCACGAGAAGTCCCGGATCAGAAAAATATATTTGATATATTTTTAATCCATAGTCAGTCGTCAATAGAATGAACATACGGGAATACCTTTGAATGCCGAAGAACCGCCCAGAACAGGTGATCGAACCGCAAATAAAAATACGAAGGACATATTGAATTTCTAATTTATGTTAATTTAATTGTAGACTTTTGGTGAAGTCAAATTGATACTAGCAAATTTTGCTTCGATATTCAAATGAAATTCATGAAATACTCCGTAAACAGCGATTTAAGTGTGGCTTTGAGAAATATACAGGAAAAAAGCCACAGCTGACTGAACTTGGAACGATTACATGAGATCATTGAATTTCCGATTGCGTAGAAACTGCATGCAACGTGATTTTCGTAATTTTCACTTCTCAAGTGAAATTTCACGATTAGAGATCGCATTGTACCGTGGAATATGATTGTCAATGAAATTTTTACTCATTTCACGAATGATTGCATAAGTGCACCGTATATTTTTTTAATTAACTCTACGGGTTTTAAATGTAATGAATTCTACAAAGCTTGAGAGATCACGAATTAAACTGCACCCATCAGACTGTAGTAATCCGCCAAGTACTCTAATAAATGTATGACGTTATAATTTGATAGAATCAAAGAAAATTGACGTAGATTTATGCCGTGATGTTGGACGTCATTGGCACACGAGAGACGGCTTTTTAATCAACTCACTTCATATAATTCACGTTGGCAGAGTAAAACGAGAGGAAAATAAAGACTGAGGCGGTGAAACGGGAAGAGGGAAAGACCTCTGACAAACTGCATCTCCGTCCAGCATCATGAGTATGAATAATGTAATGGATGAGGTTGAGCAAAGAAGAACGTTAACTAGAAAAAAAAAACGAACGAGGGATTGAAGCAGGATGGTGAGATTCCAAAGTCACAAGCCAGAGTGCAACGAATAGATGAACCAGAAGCACCATTCGACCTATTCCACTCCACCTAATCGAAAAGATAAATATTTGAGATGTATAATTCAATAAGACCGATATCAAAGAATAATAAATCCAGGAAATATCAGTCGTATGCCGTGGATTTCATCGAATGGTTAATTTAATGCAGCAGGAAAAAGATAAAGTCATTTTATATCTACAATATTGAGTCAAGGAGATAACTCAAGAAGATAAAGATTAAACTGGGATATAAACTGTGGAGAATGAAAGCTGAAACGAAAGGCAGGAAAATGTGTGAAGAATAGGGGAGTCAGGATTTGAAACCTGGATGGGTCTTTGCCATTTTTTTCTTCTTCTCTCGAATCTTCTATCCCACTTCTTCAACTTCTTTTGCCTCGCCTTCGTTGGCCTGGCTGAGGTAATTGCACCCTACCAAGGCCGACAGCTGATGCAGCAGCAGAACCACCACACAGCTGTATTCCACGTAGAAGCCAGTCCATTTCCTGCTCTGTGTTGGAAAGGATAACTCGCGTGCGTGAGCAGGTAAGTGAGTATACTTCTACGTAGTACCTGTCCTGGCTCGTCAGCTCGTGTGTACGTATCGAGGAAAATACCCTGGTTCTCAAGTTTACGCAGTGCAGATCATGTAGAGTACAAATTAAATGTCTCGTCTGATTGAAATGCATTTTTTTTCCCACTCAGTAGAGGCATGGCATTCATCGAACCTGACATTTCCTGTTTTTCAATCTAAATATAATTACGACTCATTGGATTTGAGTATTCAAGTAGATTAAGTACTCCCTAAATCGGTCATAATCCGAGTGAAAAATCCTGATAGAAAGGCGTTACGTGCCTGATCATCGACTGGATGGAAACGAAGAATGCGAGCTTGGGATAAAAAAGCTGGAGCTCCCTCAAGAGTGTAAGATTATGATTGAGATCATCGCCAAGCTATTGGTGTCCTCATTCTCGTCCTTGTACCCTTGAACACCTGACGATTGAAAGGTAACAGGTTGCCGACAGGTGGCGCACAAAACATTAAACATATGCAGGGTTTAATCCCAGTGTTTAAGATCTACCACAAATGAGATCAGGTACAAGTACGATATCTCGACATTATTTCGCACTTTCATCTATCTAATGCAGATAGATAAATGCCTCATTGTCGCTCGATTAACATTCGAGGGAGATTAAATAAAACATTGAAGAACGGGAATTAATGAAATGATTGATTCAAGCGGAAGTCATAAAAATATTATGAATAAATAGGTAATCTGAGACGTATCATGTTGCTTCTTTATTCATTCCTTTTTCTCACCTCACTTTCGTTGACATTCTTTGAACGTCTTGGATAACGCCATCACCTTCGGCACGTGGACATATATTGAAATGTCTTTACGTGACTCGATCCATTACAAACTCGTTGTTTGTCTGATGGCAAATGCGAATAAAATGATAGAGTTCTCCTTTTCTGCTTTCGCCGTGACAAAAAATACATAAATACTGTGCACTTTAGGGCAGTCAGATGTGACCTACATTACGCTCTAGCAGGTGTTCGGATCTTTACTGAATTATTACATTTCAAGATCCTTCGAAGTGATTCGAATTATGCCCTTTCAAATTATCACCCTCAATTCACATAGCACGCGTGACAAATGCTATTTCCGGGTAGATTCTAAACTTTTTTTTTTTAAGTCTATTTGTTTTCAGATCCCGTTATGAGTGCGACCCCAGGCCTTTTTTATCAGTCCGATTGCTGTATCGACGGTACATATTTACCTATTTTCACTTGATTAGATTGTACCCACGTATCAGTTCACAGAACCCCGGAAAAGCCTTGCAGCCATTCTTATCCGGATCTGTTAATTTTCAAGCGGCTAACCACTTCATGGAGAAGTACTAAAAATCTTCACTGCAGCTCGTAATCCGCCACTGACATTATCTACGTAGATAATTCAAAGATAATGTTTATCAGTCGTCATAATTACTCCAAAACAGCTCAAATGCATCAAACGTAAAAATTGCTTCTTGAGAATTTTTGTATTCAATCGTGACGTAGTTAAAAAGTCTCGATTAAAATAAAAAAAAGGGCTAAAGTTAAATTGACAACGTTACAAAATATCCACGTGGAATAACGAGTTCTGTATCTCGGCAAAAAATTTTCAGTACGATTAAGTTAACTCACACTTTACACTTCATAATGTGTAAGAAAAACGTAAGAGTGAGAAGTTGAGCGCCTATATTTATCCATGCGAAGTAAACTGAGTAACTAAAACTTGAGATGTTTCTTCCAATATGAAAGACGCGACGAGACTGAACCATGTATGGGGCCCATGGGATATCTCACTATGCAAGGGGGCGTCATTTATTTTTGTCTGTGGCCTCGTACCCCATGGGTTGTCAGTTCTCTATACGTTAGTCGTGTTGGTATGTACCACCCTGAGATTACAGACGCCTTGAAAACACGCGATCTGAACCGAATAATTACCAGTTAAAAGAGTGGAGCAAATATCATAAATATTTACAACCACTTTAATCTCCTATCTTTTCTATTTAACGGACGAACCCTTGAATCTGCCTTGAATCAGCCAAAGGTTGAATGAATAATAACTACAGCACAACTCTTACAGAACTCGACGAAACAGGGGTGACATCCCAAAAAGATCGATACCAACCTGCAACAGAAAAATAAAAAATTGTCAGATAAGTACAGAATTGCTGAGGAATATTTCATGACTCATGTGCGCATTTACACACAATCATGAATCTTCAACACTTAAAAAATGGGTCAAGATGTTTCTAGGGGTCACGAAACGCCGACATCTGAAAATTCTAGATAATATTAATTGCATTAAATTCCTCCTTGAACGACGGGAAGTTGAAAAATCCATTACCCCATGTGGAAATGATTGTTGATATTTAAAAGAAGAATGTAGTGAACCACGTAATGCTTTCCAAGAGCAAAAACAAGTAGTTATCATACGGGTCGTTAATTTTAATTTAGATAAACTTGGAAGCCCGCATGTTAAACAACACGCATTATGGTACAAGAAATTCCAATAAACAGTAGTGAAGATCTATATCTAATAAAATATCTGAGCCCACATGAGCCGTTGACGTCTCATAAATAATTAACTGGTGACATGTGAGTTGGTCTGGCGTAAAAAAAAAAATGAATTCAATGAAAATAGTTTGACGGGTTGATTGTGGAGAGAGCAACTGTTGGGAATAATGAAGAGGGTAGAATAGCAAAAGTTCCTCGACATTTAAGAATTTATTACAGTGAACGAGTGTCGCGTGTCATGAGTGCTGCTGCCATCGCTGGCAATCTACACGATACTGACAACGTCGCTCCTCCTGTTCGCTGACCCATGGAGGGCTTGGTTTCTCCAGCACACGGTTCCTTGGGTGCGTTTTCGCTGACGTGAAACACGTTCTCGTCCATAACACTCCAATCCTCACACAAGTCTCGTACATCATTTACTCTTTCTCATTCATTCATTCATTCAGTCTGATCACTGGCAAGCAGGAAGTACCATTGAGTCCATGAGTACTCGAATTCCTAGATAACTTGCCCACTTGCCTGCTTACTTAGTTAGTACTTTTGTTCCAAATATATTTCAAGTATGTTTCAAGTATGCCTCAAGTATTGAGTGAGTTTCAGTTACGGTACTTTGTACTCATCATAGTAGTATTTTTTTTTTCGGGTATTTAATGTGCTCAATTACTGAGGATTTAGTAACCCTCAATTTGGGCATCATTGGGTTTGATCATGATAAGATGATGATAATTATGATAATGATGATGAGTGAACTGGAATTGTTGGGAAAAATGGAATAATTGAGAGCAAAGAATAGTACGAATGGTTGTAACTTTTATACTTCATAAAAACAATGTAATATTTAAAACTTTCACGAGAATTTGAGTCCTTTCTTCCAGAAACTTCATCGCCATTTTACGACGCGAATAATACCCTGGCTGGTAGTGTCGTAAAATCCCATGAGGACCGTGGACGGAGGCAACCAAGTACACATCGCACTGAGAATACGAGGAATACGTCATGAGGTTGTAGTTGAGACTCGAGACGATAAACCGCGGGATTTATCACTCTCCGGTCTGTCTGAGGAATTGATATTTCGCGACACCGAGTGACCTCAATTTGGTTCCTCTTCCGCCGCCAAGAAACCATCATTTTTTTTATTTCTACATGTGACAAGACAAGTGGATATTACTTCAAGCTTTTTACAGCCATCCTTGCTCATCAATTAGCAATTTTCTTCTCATAAATGGATTTTGAAAATTTTTCAATTAAAAATTCAACCACTGAATACTAAATCGTGATTTAGATTTTTTTAAATTTATTTTACATTAATTACCATTACACTAATGATGCGCGACTTCGTAATCATAAATTACATTCGCAATCGTTGTCAATCATGATTATAAAATCGTAATTCAAGGCGATTTCGAGTGTAGTTCAGGTTCTAATTCCATACAATTTCTTCAGGCTGATTTTCGTTTAAGTATTTCTGTTTGTAAAAATGATATTTTTACGACAGCCAATTTCACTTTCCATCTTTCAGAGAATGCAGTCGATTTATCGTCAATTCCGACAAAACCAGTAAAATCTGGGAGATAGGCTGGAACAACAACTACGTAATTGGACATGATACAAGAAACTATGAGCTGTCATTATTCTCCAATGTCGAGAGTCATGGAGAGTTAAATGTGTGCACTGTAGTCATTCCTTTGTTGGTGACGTCTCCTTCTCAGTCCTTGTATCCAATGACACGAAGTGCCTATTTCGCAGTGAATATACATTCTCATCCTTTCACTGTCACTTTTGCCAACTTTTTGTCACCACTATCAATCTTTTTCAAATTCATTGATCATTGATATCGATGATTAATTCAAACTCTCCAACAAGGCGTCAATTATCTCGCATGAATTTCCACGGACCAATTGTTATTTACCGATGTAAATGCAACGTCCGTAACTTTGTCAAGGTTATTTTATATAACAACAAATTAACTGCACATAAGAGGATGAGCGTTATAATTTTACGTTTTTCCTTCTGAATGGAATTGTCAATACAATTTTATGAATTTGTCGATATATGTATAAATATTAAGAACAATAAACATACCGAAAGGAAATATACGTAATTATCCACGTGTTGGCAATTAAAAGAGGGAATATTAGAGCTATAAATCTTGTTCATTCGTTTTTGTTCTAAGATGTTTAAAAAGAGAGAGAATTTTTCATTATTCTCACTTAATTCCGAGGGGAATTACCATAAATATGTAAATACCGAGGGGATTTATTGAAACGTTACGAGTCGTTTAGCAATAATTTATGATAATTCCGTTGGTGAATAAACTTTAAGAACTGGTGTATCAATGGTACTGGGGTATTGTCAACCACAGCAGTGGTAGATATCCGTCAGCTTCTTCCCTTCCGTTTCCGTTCCAACAGGAGGAAGCTACCAAGGTTTTTCACCCAATTTAATCCTACATCATGGGCCTAAGTACTTTTTCTCTTCCTCAAAAGCATCAATCAACATCAAAACATTAAAACTTGTAACATTTATATTATTTGCAATCCACAAAGACAGGCTTCATTAAAATTCCAATTGAATACAGACTTAGACCATGTGATTGTGCATAGCCGTCCTTTCTAAAAAAATAGCAAAAGAGCCTAGGAGCCTAAGAGCCTTTTGTCCTTGATCTCATCCCGCTTGGAAAAGGAATTCTCTATTCTATTCCACGAAGCGACGGAGCCTCCACTTTCGAGTTTCGCAAGAAAATAAATGTAGCCAAAGGAATCCATAAAAATCGTCGGGGCTGTGAGATTGGTCGTCGGATTATTATAGTATCTGACGAGTTGCGTAAATATCAATGTCACAAAAATATAAGAGATACGTTTTATTTTCTCATTCAACAAGAGCCTTGGGCAAATTAATGCTAATTAATGTCAATTTAATTGTAGATCAAAACCGGAACTTCTTTGTCCAGGAAAGTTATCCAGGTTGGGTCTATGTATACAGAGAGGCCCATTGAGGATATGTATGAAGGTATATAGTTCCGATGGTTATCGCTGACTCAGGTCACGCGATTTCTCGTTGCACACCTGTACGTATGGAATGGTCTTCTGGTAACCCCAGTGCAAATTCACATCGTTTTTTAATAACAAACTGGTCAATAAAAGCTGATCATCATCAGTTTTGACTGTGTCCGATCAAATCTGTGTGGTCATTGCCTAATTCAGTTTGGATTTTAAACTCATCAAATTTCTTCATTTCTTCATTTGCAAACCTCATCGCTCTTGTGGAAAATTGCATAATTTTCTCTCCATTATGATGATATCCAAGGGAAACGGAGCAATTACATGAGTTGCAGTATTTATTAACGAATGATTAAGGCCCGAGTCTTAGCGGAGAGCAAACAGCGATTTATCACTGAGTTATCAAAAATAAGAATGAAGATAATTGAATGAGACTGGTACTTCATACGGAACTTTGATAACGGCTGAGGATCCAATCTTCCTGTAACAAGTGTCACTCTATCAATATCCCGGCACCAGCGAGTCAGTTGTCGTAAAGGAACAATACAATTCAGATTAATATTGAACTTTGAATGAAATAAAATGAGACTATTACAAATTCATTTATTGCAAAGAGCCAACAGATGTCAACTTCTTGCAGCAATTGCCAGTGAGTTTTCAATTAATTTTATAACTGCATATCTGAATTTTGCACCGTTGGACAACAGTCGACTTTTTCATAAACAAAAATATATTATATTATTTTCGTGCTGCCAAATAAGTCAATATTGCCACTACATCGACGTCAATGTTCATGGGATGGCTGCCTCCAATTATTCCCCTACTTTTGACAGAGGATACTCCAGTTGGGGCAACACCCATGACAGCCGATGAGATTTCTTGGTTGTCATCAGTTGGGCTGCTCATGCCACTGATTATTCTACCGATTGCCGCTTGGTCATTAGAACAATTTGGCAGAAAATTGACGGGCTGTTGCATGGCACTCTCGACCACTCTCAGTTGGTTGATCATTCTTTTCGCTCAGAATTTTTGGCAGCTTCTTGTATCTCGAATGCTCGGAGGAATATCACTTGCATTGATGAGTGGTGTGGTACCTGTTTACGTCGCCGAAATTTCTGATCAATCGATGAAGGGTCCACTTGGCACCTTCATATCATTGGGTATGAATACCGGAACTCTCATCGCTGCGATTTTCGGAGCTACATTAACGTACCACCAATCAGGAATATGCGGCATAATTTTGCCTCCTCTATTCTTCCTAATTTTTGTTTTTATGCCTGAGTCTCCAATTTATCTCGTCAGGAAGAATAAAATCGCTGAAGCTACACGGTAATATCATAAATTCGATTTGTAATCATTTATGGATATAAAAGTGCAGGCAATTTGCTCTTTGAACCTTAATTCTAGGTGTCTGATGTGGTTACGAAACTATGACAAGACAGAAGCAGAGCAAGAAGTATTTCAGCTTCAAGGGAATCTACAAAAAATAGAAGAATCAAGGAGAACCGTGAAGAAAACGGACATATTCAAAGATCGTGCAACAATCAGAGGATTCATCATTGCTTCTGGTCTATTCATTGGACAACATATGACTGGTTGTGGAATTGTGGTAATACTATCGTTATTTATGCAGTCATTTTGTCCTACAGAAGAAGACAGCCAACTTACTTTTTCTGAAAGGTACTTTACGAGTTGGAAATGGTAGATTTAATTTTAATATTTCAGGCCGTGTATGCGCCATTGATATTCCAACTTGCTGATAGTTCATTGAGTCCAAATATTGCTGCGATAGTAATAGCAGTAATTCAAAGTACTGGATCATGGCTATCAACAATGACAATCGATCTTACTGGAAGACGATGTATTATTTTGTTGTCGTGTATAGGAATGGGAATATGCCATCTTATTTTTGGCACGTTCTTCCTTCTCATGGACCAAAACGTTGATGTCTCCTCATTTTCATGGCTACCACTTGCTGTATTATCAATTTATGCAATATCGTATTCAATGGGAATCGGTCCCGCTGCTTATATCGTTGCAGCAGAAATTTTCAGTCCGGATATAGCAAGTTTTGCCACTTCGACAGCGATGATGCTACTTTGGTTTTCCAGTTTTGTGGCAATTAAATCGTTTCCATTAATATCTTTTCATTATGGCAGTCATACATCATTTTACATTTTAGCCGCTTTCTGTGCTTCTACTTGGCTATTTACGTTCATTCTTTTACCTGAGACAAAGGGAAAATCTACTCAATCAATTATTGACGAGCTGAACGGACAGAAGGATAGAAGGCATTCGAAAGGTGAAGACAATTTATCTCAATAAAAAAATCGTCCGAAAACAGTTCGAATTCAGTTTCACTTATTAACATTCATAACAATTCATTTAATGAATTCATGTACTAAACGTAATAAATAATTTTTTTACGTAGATAACATAAATGATCAATTTATTCTGACGATTGAATTGGGGTAGTATTCCAATATTAGTAGAAAATTGCAGATTTGCAGAGATAGCGATCATGTGAATTGCAAGAGTCATTGATAAATTATGAAATTTCCAAGGCGGGAAGAGTGAGTTGATAATTACCAATAAAATTGATCCAAAAAAATAAAGATAAAGTCGGATAGGGGATTGCACAGTAATGCGATAACAGTCGAAGATTATATCTCCTTGTAACAGATGTTACTGAGATTAAGACGGAATAGATCGGTATTAGTTCTTCTCGTAACGCCGAGATAGACTTCGCATAAGAAAGAAAATTCATACTCGGTAACATGCATAAATTTCGAATACGTTGGTTAGAAGAAAATAAAAGACGTCAAGTTGTAGCAGCAATTGTCGGTAAGTTTTTCAATGAATTTTCGAACAATTACAGTTGGTTTGCGAAATTCGAACTACTGCATTTTCTTTTGATAATTAAGCCAATTTGGCAACTGTATCGACTTCACTGGCGTTTGGATGGCTGACACCAATTATTCCTCTTCTTTTGAAAGAAGATACCCCAGTTGGTACAGAACCAATGACAAACGACGAAATTTCCTGGATATCGTCGGTGATTGCTCTTATGCCACTCATTATTTTACCGATTGCTGCCTGGGGAGTTGAGCGGTTTGGAAGAAAAAAGATTGGCTGTATTATAACACTTCCACTCATCGCCGCTTGGTTAATCACGTATTTCGCTGACAGTTTTTGGCAACTTATAATTGTTCGGATATTAATGGGAACGTCTCTAGCATTAATGTATGCAGTAGTACCAGTTTATGTACCTGAAATATCGGACCAGTCAATGAGAGGACCACTAGGCACTCTTTACTCGTTCAGCATAAATCTAGGATTACTTCTTGCCTTGATTTTTGGTGCAACATTGACTTACCACCAGTTCGCAATAAGTGGAATGATTTTGCCACCGATATCCATCATAACATTCCTTTTCATGCCTGAGACACCGGTTTATCTTTTAAGGAAAAACCGGATTGCAGATGCTACTAAGTAATATTATGTGTTCAAGATGATTGAGTACAAGAAGATATTTGCGAAATGAAATCACTTGATATTTCAACTTGAACTTCCAGATCTTTGATGTGGCTGAGAAATAACGATATCGCAACAGTCGATCGCGAATTATCTGAACTTCAACAGAGCCTTGAAGAAATGGTGAAATCTGACAAACCTGTCAACATAAAAGACTTGTTCAGAGATCGTGCAACAATCACAGGATTCGTCATTGCTTCCGGTCTTTTCATTGGACAACATACGTCTGGTTATACAATTGTGGTAAAGTGTCTTTAAGAAGCTGTGTTGCAAGCTCAGAAATAAAATACAAAATTTATCTTTCCAGATAACGTACACTGCATTGATATTTGAGCTTGCAAATAGTTCACTTGCCCCAAATACCGCAGCTATAATTTTGACACTAATTCAGCTGATAGGAACGTGGCTATCAACAATGACGATCAACCTTACTGGAAGACGCTCTATCATTATCATCTCTTGTGTGGCAATGATGATTGGTCACATCATTTTTGGAACTTTTTTTCTACTTATGGATCAGAAGACTGATGTCTCATCATTTTCATGGATTCCACTTGTCGTATTATCGGCTTACGCAGTATTTTATTCAATGGGACTTGGCCCAGTAGCATATGTCGTCGCAGCAGAGATATTCACTCCCGACATAACGGGACTGGCTACCTCAATGGCTATGATATTACTTTGGTCTGCTAGTTTTTTGACTATTAAATTTTTCCCACTGGTATCATCTAACTTTGGTAATCACGTTTCTTTCTATATTTTAGCTGCATTTTGCGCATGCACATGTATTTTTACGGTTGTTCTTCTACCTGAGACTAAAGGGAAATCAACCCAGTCAATTGTTGACGAACTGAATAGAAAGAAAAAGAAAAATGATGATTATCCAACTCTCAGAGATGGAAATAATACCGACAAAGTCTAATTCCGAGAGTTCAATTGTGTACACAATACAAATCGAATATTGTTTTTGTTTCGCGATAACTGAAAATATTCAACAATGAATTGTGTAATCATCCCAGAGTACGGACTCGATAAGCCAATATTCTGAGGCACAATTGAATGGTTTTTAATAATGTTTTTTTTTTTTCGATGGAAAAACGATTGGTCACGTACTAAATTCAATGCAATGATTATCACTGAAAAATTCACAAGAAAAACTCAGAATAAATTTTAATTTCTATTGAGTCATTTTTTATTGTTCTTCCCGACAACGGAGAATCTCGGGAGATTTGAGCCCGGGACTGCGGTAACATGCTGGCTGGTCGTAATTTTTGCACCGGAAGTTCGCACCCCACGCACTAAGGGCGTGGTCTCTCTCCTGGCCCCATTTGAATTCGGTGAGGTCGTCGGATAAACGTTTTTGCTTCGGCGTATAGTCTCACGTACTATAAAACCACCAACAAAAGATCGCAATGAAATAACAAAACGAATAAAAAATGAAAAAAAAAAAAAATGGATACTTGCGTGTGCTATGATGGCACACCTGACGCTCGATACGTCGGCTGCCATTCCATTTGACCATCGCCACTCCACTGGTAACCAGCTTCACGCGCAATTACTGCCTTCTCTTGGACTCCAGCACCTGTTACTCAAAACTCACAACCAAGTAACTTGCCCGACGACTTTACACACCGATACTTTTTGCAACGATTCTCTGTGGTAACCAACGGCAAATTGTTTCTTCCATTTCAAGCTGTAATTCCAATACGTGTCACCTAATTACTATCAAGTATGCGAAAGAGTGAAGAGGGTACGTGCCTGGGAAATTATGAGACAGATAATGCAACAAGGGGAAGAATTCCAGAAAGGTGCATTTGTCTCTCGACCCTTGAATTATCATTGCACCGCGTCAAGCCCATGAATTATTGAACTACAATCAATTCTCAGCGAAGAATTGCACTGAAATGTACAACTTACATTTACATAAAAATATTTAATTCCTAATACTTTTTCAAATGATAATTCAGTGTTATTTTTCCTCTCGCCGTCGGATAATGATTTTCAGCAGAAAAAAAGAGGATAAGTTGAGAAAAAAAGGGATGCGTGACATTTCATTGCTATCTCACTTCCGCGATCCCTCTCTGTGTCGTGCCAAAGTAGTCTAGAACTCTGGAGGGTTCTCTCCTCTTCGCCCGTCTTCCACCGTCCTCATCCACCCATTCCCGAGGGTTTGTGTGGTGGTGCTGACTCGTCCTCCCTCTCGTCTCACCCCGGCAAGTACCTACTGTGCATCCCTTCCGAACCAGGCCCCACCCTTCCCACAATAGCATCCTACAGCGGTCGATACGTCTACCTACCCCCTATATACGCCCTTATTCCTTCACCTCGCCACCTATCAGCAGGCTCCTTTTTATTTCATTTCATCTCGATTCATTCCTCTCTTTTTCTTTTTCCTTTCTCATTTCCAATCACTCTAAAATTCACAATCCGTGGTACACGCAATCGTTCGTCATTCATTTTATTTTCACTCTAAACTCGAGTTTACGCTGTGCATCGAAAATCTCAAATTTCCACTTGTGCTGACTGAGTTATCCATATCCAAATTGGGATATTTTTTTTATAAAAATTGAGACTCTGACATGCGATTCAAGTTAAACAATTTGTACGACACATGAAAAGCAGGGGTTTTTTAATTGTTTCATCGGAATACCGCAAAAACTGGGATTAAAAAAAAAATACACTCTCGAAAAGGACAGGAGTACTTAAATTAATACTTTGGCCACTTAGTACTTATAATTCAGTAAATTTGTCGATTACCATGACGTACATTGGACGCATTCATAATCTCCACAGAGAACAACAAAGTTTCAGTTCATCTAATTGAAATCCTCCTCTACCTTTTCAGTATTCGAGGGAGAAAGAGTGATGGACCACGAGATTGGGAGTACGTGAAAAACGCGGTGGAAAAATGAGTTCTCACGAGGTAATAAAACCGGTATAACGAGTATGGAAGCCATTGTCAGGCGTCATTGGGTTTTAGAGGGAGAGCCCAATGTAGCGTGCTCCTTGGATTATTCATTATGCATGCGTTTCAAGTAAGAAAGAGAAAAGACAGAAGAAAGGAAAAAACAATGTTACTGGTATTGAAATTTGTACAGATGAAAATCAGAGTGACGTAGAGGGTAATTATCGAGTGCAGAGGCGCATCCCGTTGTACCTATCTCATTTAACACCACAGAATTTTCTTGGCACATTTCATGTCTTACTTGACGAGTGCGTATAATATGACCCCTTCACGATGGACTTCGCAGGAAGCGGTAAGTTTAGATAAGATCGTCGAGTCGAGTTCATGCCCGTGTGCTCATCACCCCTGTCCCATAAACCCGCACTCAATCCCCACTTTGGCTTTCTCAATTCGACAGTCTCCAGTTCTTCGCTCTTGACTCGTTACACCCCATAAAGTGTACCCCTCTACCTCTACTCGCAATAACCGACACCAACCCCACAAGGGGAGTCGTGATTTTGTCAAGGATTCGTGTATATTGCTAATATCCCACACGTTGTAGATTTCGAGTAGCTATCATGTCACTGATCCATACCCTATGTTTATCCATAAATAAATCAGCAAATTATCCAGCGAATCAATGAAAAAATCTGTGTGAAATTTACTCGATTACTGCAGTGCAAATATTCTAAGACATTTATTACCGTAACTAATGATTTATGTGTTTTACAACAAGAATCATTGTTTCCAAACACCTACATCTACTTTGCGTACCCATTTTTTAATCTCAGTATCAGGCTTGAGGCCATGTGTATACTCTAGATACTCCAATTAACATGCTCTCTGTTTTACAAAAGAAACACGAATACAACCTAGCAGATGACTAGACACCTTGGAAGGCCTGGTGTACCTTGTTTTTTACTCCGACTTTATTCCCTGGTCGACTCCGAGCGATGGTGGCAGGGTTTTGTGATACATACACTGATATACAGTTGTATTAGTGGGATAGGGTGGCGTAATACTTGAGCCTGAAAACCTCGGGCTTCAAAGGGAGCGACAAATTGAATATTAGCGCCTGTGTGGCCCATGCTTTTATTCCGGAAGCATTTTTCCTCGCTTGTGAAAATATCATTCGCCATGGCAACGGTGCCCCAAGTTCTCTTGAATTTTCAAGGGGTCGAGAAACTCACGACTTATCGATTCACCCATGGTGGATAAAAAATATTCAGCTGTATCGATTCATCAATTTTTCTCAATTTTTTCTTGAATAATGTCAGATGATTTATTCATGATCGTCTCCGCCATTCTGTCGTCAACAGCGATACAGCGCAAGGAGAGAATTAAATAGTTAAAATTACCATGGTCAATTTTGCTAATATTAACTGAGAAATTTTGAATATTTACTTTTCATTGTACCTGCATTGAGTACATACATTGGACGTTACGTCAAGACAATATTTACCACTGCAGTAAATGAAGTGGCTGCTTGGGAGTGACATATGACGTATGGAAATCATTCCAGATCTACTCACATTCGACGACAGCTGTTCTCCAAGCGCAAAAGGTAAAGCCATTTGCTCTTATATGTACGCCTGGAGATGTATAAACTTGGATTAAATGTGTATATGTAATCGATCCTCGTGTCTCTGGGATCTTGAGTGAAAAAGAAGGCGCGTGCCCCTGTGCGCAGCTGTTGTCAGTGCGCCGAGCTGCCAGCAGCAAAAGGCCATGTACAGTTGACAGAAATAAATTTAAAAAAAAAACACAATTAAAATAAATATATATATGGATATATACATAAATATGGGGAAAAGTGACCAGTACCATGGCCGGCTGTTATTAGCTTTAGTTTTGTTTCCAAGGGGAATCGAATGGAATAAATGCCATGAATGGTAAATGACGGGAGAAACTAATTTGCAGATCTCATTGAGAAGTACATGCTCATTGCTAATTTCTAAAAATTAGTGATGTTGATGTACAAAGAGCGAAGCAATTTCCCGCTGGTTTGTCATTATGCTAAGAAAATATTAATCCTTGCCTCGTGTCTCTGCGTCCACTGGATCATTTGAAAATGGCCCCTGCAAGGATGGACGGGAGGGGCCATTGTTAAGGATATATCCAGAGGGGTGGGCATTTCAATCGAAAAAAAAAAAAAATAAATAAAAGGGGCTAAATGCACGTGGCTCACCCCTGAGGCAAAAGCCCAGTTGAACGCAACACACACACACGGCATATGGCAAGGAAAGATAAAACCTGGGCGCGTGTCACTCTGAATGAGAGCGACGAATCGAGATGGCGACAAGCGATCTCATAGTGAAGGCCATCAAGAGTACACGGCCTGCTCTATTAGGGGTTGTAACCCCATGTAGATGCCAATATTCTGGGATGTTTCCCAGGGCCTCACAAGGTGCCTGGAAATTGGGACTGTAATCGAGTCACTCTGACTCTATTATCCACAGTATTAGCACTTCAATTTCCGCTCTATCCTGCACCTCATTTTCGTTATGATTAACAAAGTAATTGGTAAAAAATATTGATTAATCAAAAAGAATATGAAAATAATAATTAAAGAGTTACAATTATCAGGCCAATAGTAATTTACAGCTATCTTGAGCGAAATTGACGCGACAATTTCGGAAAGTTTCCATTGAAATTTCTCTTATGGATTAATAGGGAAATTAGATGTTTTTGGAATTTAGACTACTCAATTTTTTTTCTGTGTACAGTTTCTGTTGAAAGAGTACTTTCAGCTCTTTTTTCCGGGGGGTAAAAAAAAACCGATAAAGCAAGCCCGAAAGGCACTGGAACGCAACAGCATGGGAGCCATCATGTGCAGGGCGCATTAAAATGGAAACGCTTTCATGCTACTCATAGTTGTTTCATCGACCTATTCTCCCTCTTCGTCGACTACTAGCAACAACAGAGGTATAACACTGTCGACACAACCATCCCCCATTACCACCCACTGCCACCCCCTCATTGCACACCCCACCATGGCGGACATCAACCCCCTGAACTCTTCTACCGATGTCGACAAGTTAAAATATGCAAATACGAGAAGATTATGCCCCGATTCATCCAACTATATCACTCCTCTTCCTGGGATATAGTCCGGGTGTACGTGGCGTGGATGACTCTCAGCATAACTGACAAGGCCATATGCGAGACTCATCATCATTCCTTTCCTTTTTTTCTTCTCACTGTACCAATCAAAGTGATGAGCACGAGATAGAATTGAATCTCCCCATTAATAGGAAACTTCGTCATACATAAATATAAGTACATAATAATTGGATCATTCAGCCAAAAGTGGATGTTCAAAGTTCGATAGAATTCTTCATTATCCAACCCGTAATTGTAGTCGTAATTAATCCGAAAAAATTCAGTAAAGATTCCATCATATTTACGTAATTATCAAGTGACAATGAAGACCAGGTGGAGATTACAGAACTAATTATTTAATTCAGAAAGAGTTTGTAACTGATGCGTATCTTTTTTCGTAAGGGTCTGTACTTTTTACTGCAAACTTGTACAAACATAGATATCCAGTAAACGAACATGGGGGTTTCAGTTTTAATACCCCAAGGAGCATGCGCATGTGGGGATTGGGAAGCCAATAAGGAGAAATAGGGTAGGTTGATCACGGTTGAATCGACCCACCGGATCATCTCGATGCGGGATGCTTGTTAATTTAATGACGACCCTTCTATTGAGTACGCCCAGTTGCACCCAAATGCTCCAAAGAATCTGTCTCTCATCCATCCTAAAATGGGACCTTTCTCCCGTAAATATAGTCACAGGTGTTAAGGCCCAGCAGTCAATTAATCTATAAATCAATGCCAACCGATTCTATGATTATATAAACATATTCCAAATTCAAATAATTTATTTTCTCTTGGATTAATAGACTATAGTATTCGATTTTTTAGTGATGAACCCTGGCAACAGTTGAATGGACGA